AGATGCGACTGATGAACATAAAAACGCGCAGAAGGAAGTAAGGAAGAAGGATCAGAAAGCATTGTTCTTCATTCATCAATGTGTGGATGTAAACGTGTTTGAGAAGATTGCAGACTCTACAACAGCAAAGGCTGCATGGGACACTCTGGTGAGATGTTATGGTGGTGACGCATCAGTGAAGAAGGTGAAGCTTCAGTCCTTGAGAAAGCAATATGAGAATCTCAACATGAAGAATAATGAGAAAGTTTCTGAATACATCTCCAGAGTGATTCTGATCACTAATGAGATGAAGGCATGTGGAGAAACTCTTTCTGAAGAAACAATCATGGAGAAAGTGTTGAGATCCCTTACTCCTCAATTTGATTACATTGTGGTAGCAATAGAACATTCCAAAGATCTAAGCACAATGAGAATTGAAGAGCTGCAGAGCAGTCTAGAAGCGCAAGAGTTGCGTCTGACTGAGAGAAACTCTGAAAAGGAAGTAGAACAGCAGGCTCTGAAAGCAACTTCTGATAGGAGGTATCAGAAGCAGTCAGAAGCCAGGAGAAGATCTGATGGTGGTCAGAAGTCAGAAAGCTCAACCTCTGATAGACAAAAGAATGCTCAGAGGGGAAAAGAGAAGTATGACAAAAGAAAAATACAATGTTACTGTTGTAAGAAGTTTGGCCATTTTGCTAGAGATTGTTGGTCAAACAAGGAGAAGAAATCATAAGAAGCAAATATAGCCAGAGGCTCTGATGACGAATCTGTGCTGTTGATGGCCTCTGAATCTGATAATGTGGATCTGACAGACTGGTGGTATATGGACACTGGCTGTTCAAATCATCTTACTGGAAACAAGAAATGGTTGGTTGACTTTGACTCTGAAAAGAGAACAAAGATCAGATGTGCTGATGACAAATATCTTAATGCAGAAGGTATGGGAAATGTCAGAGTGACTCTGAACAATGGGAAAATAGCATTGATTCAGAATGTGTGGTATGTACCTGGCATCAGAAGCAATCTGATGAGTGTGGGACAATTAATTGAGAAAGGTTTCTCAGTTACCATGAAGGACAATCTTCTGAAGCTGTATGACTGTAATCAGAAGTTGATTATGGAGTCAGAACAGGGAAGGAATAGAACATTCAAGGTGAATGTCAGAACTGCAGACTCAGAGTGTCTTAGTGCAACAAGTACTGAGAAGGAGAGTGAGCTGTGGCACAGAAGATTTGGTCATTTGAATTTCAGAAGCTTACAACATCTGAATTCAAAGAAATTGGTACATGGAATTCCTGCAATTAAGAAGCCTGAAAAGTCATGCAAAGTTTGCATGGAAGGAAAACAACCAAGATTGCCATTTGCATTAGAAGTTGCTCCAAGAGCAAAACATGCCTTGGGAGTTGTACACTCTGATGTGTGTGGTCCATTTCCAGTAGCATCAATTGGAGGGAATAAATACTTTGTGCTGTTTGTTGATGAATTCACAAGAATGACATGGGTATCCCTTATTAAGTTCAAACACGAGGTGTTTGATGAATTCAAGAAGTTCAGAATGAAGGCTGAGAATCAGAGTGGTCAGAAGTTGAAGATTCTTAGAACTGATGGTGGAGGTGAGTATAACTCCAAAGAGTTCCAGAAGTTCTGTGAGGAGAATGGAATTGAGCATGAGGTTACTGCTCCCTATACCCCTCAACACAATGGTCTTGCTGAAAGAAGAAACCACACTCTGCTTGATATGGTGAGAAGCATGCTAAAGGAGAAGAAGCTTCCTCAGAAGCTGTTGCCACTGCAATGTATGTACTCAACAGATGTCCTACGAAGAAGTTGAAGGAAATAGTTCCAATACAGAAGTGGACTGGAGATAAGCAAAGTGTTAGTCATCTAAAGGTGTTTGGTTCTGTTTGCTATAAACATGTTCCAGAAGCCAGAAGACAGAAGCTGGATGATAGAAGCAAAGTGATGATTCTGATAGGGTACCACAGTACTGGTGCTTACAAGTTCTATTGTCCAGAAACCAATAAAATTGAATTCAGCAGAGATGTGATTGTGAAGGAATCAGAAGTTTGGAATTGGGATAAGTCTCAATCTGATTCTGATGATAGAACTTCTGAAGAAAGGTCAGAGTTAAGAATTTCTGAAGTTGAAGTAAACTCTGACGTTGATTCTGACTCTGATAGTGATTCTGACTCTGGAGAAGACTCAGAAGATGAAGGTGACTCTGATGATCCAGACTCTGATGGTAATCCAGATTCTGGTGGAAATTCAGACTCTGAAGATGGCCAAGGCTCTGGAGGAAGTCAAGCCTCTGAAGCTAGAAATTCTGAAGTTCAAGACTCTGGAAATATGCCAGATCTTGAATATGGTCAAAGCTCTAGAGGAAGTCAACCATCTGAAGCTGGAAACTCTGAAGCTCAAGACTCTGAACAAGTTTAGAGACCACAAAGAATCAGAAGCGTTCCCAGAAGATTTGCAGAATTTGACATGCTGCAAGACACTGAAGTAGACTCTGAAGGAGAAGTTATTCAGTGTGCCATGTTAGTAGACTCTGAACCCATAAGTACAGAAGAGGCTCTTAAGCAGAAGCTCTGGCTGAAGGCCATGAAAGAAGAACTTGATGCTATAGAGAGAAACAAGACTTGGAAGCTGACAGAACTTCCAAAAGACAAGAAAGCCATCAGCGTCAGATGGGTTTTCAAGCAGAAGTTAAAGCCAGATGGCTCAATTGGAAAACATAAAGCAAGGTTGGTAGCCAGAGGATTTCTACAAAAACCTGGGCTGGATTACTCTGAAGTGTTTGCACCTGTAGCAAGACATGAAACAATCAGAATGGTGATTGCAATAGCTGCTAACAGGAATTGGCCTCTGATGCATTTAGATGTAAAATCTGCATTTCTGAACGGTCCATTAGAAGAAGAAGTTTACGTGTCACAACCTCCTGGATTTGTGAAAAAGAATCAGGAAGGGATGGTGTACAGATTATACAAAGCTCTATATGGATTGAAACAAGCGCCTAGAGCTTGGAATCAGAAGATTGATTCATTTTTCAAGAAGCAAGGCTTTCAGAAATGTGAGATGGAGTACGGTGTCTATGTTCAGCATACTTCTGAAGGCAATATGACTCTGGTATGTTTATATGTTGATGATATACTGCTGACTGGAAGTTCTGAACAGGAGATAACCAAATTCAAGAAGGTTCTAATGAATGAATTTGAAATGACTGATCTAGGAAAAATGACATACTTTCTAGGGATGGAGTTCAGATATTCTGAGAAAGGTATCATTTTGCATCAACTCAAGTATGAATTAGAACTTCTGAAGAGATTTGATCTGAAGAATTGTAAGATGGCTGTCACACCTTCTGATACAAATCAGAAACTGGATTCAGACTCTGAAGGAAAGGATGTGGACGCTACAACCTTCAAACAGTTGGTTGGTTCTCTGAGGTATCTGTGCAATACCAGACCTGATATTTGCTACTCAGTTGGGATGGTTAGTAGGTTCATGAGTAAACCTAAGTGGTCCCATTATCAAGCTGCTGTCAGGATTCTGAGGTATATCAAAGGAACTCTGAAGTATGGAGTGTTATTTCCCTCTGGAGGAAATAATGAGTCAGAACTTCTGAGTTATTCAGACTCTGATTGGTGTGGAGACAGAGTTGACAGAAGAAGTACATCTGGGTACTTGTTCAAATTTCTGGGAGGTTCCATTTCTTGGTGTTCCAAGAAGCAACCTGTTGTGGCGTTGTCAACCTGTGAAGCTGAATACATTGCAGGTGCTGTTACTGCATGCCAAGCTGTGTGGATTCTGAATCTGTTGCAGGATCTGAAGATTAAAGTAGACAAACCTCTGAAGTTGATGATTGACAATAAGTCTGCAATCAATCTTGCCAGAAACCCAGTGTTGCATGGGAGAAGCAAGCATATTGAGACCAAGTATCATTTTCTGAGACATCAAGTTCATAGTGGAGTGTTAGAAGTTGTACACTGCAGCACTCAGAAGCAGTTGGCAGATGTTCTGACGAAAGCTATCAAGACTGATCAATTTCTCAGATTAAGGGATGGAATTGGTGTTACAAGTTTTGATGGAATATGAATTAAGGGATGGTATTAGTAATAATTCATATTTTATTGTATTACTTTCTTAAGCCCATAAGTTTGTTAGAGGGTATTTTAGTATTTATCTTATTCTAGTAACCCTAGTTTTAGCTTATAAATAGGGTGACAATCATTGTAACCAAATATCATGTTTTGTAGCCGTCATTCTCTTTAATAGAATATTTCCTTATTTCATCATTTATTCTATCTTTGCACCAACAGATCTAGTCGGCCAAAAACACTTTCAATCAATTGAAAAAACATCGTGTGATACTAATCTCGTATAATATATTATCTATTTTCCTATTTAAATACTATATTTTATTAAATTGATGTTTTTCTTTTCTCATCAGTATCCATGTTTTTTTTTCTCATCAGTATCCAATTCATTTGATTGATTAATCCGGTTCAATTCAGTTCAAAAATCTTTTCTAGACATTAAGTGATTAACGTTGGTTAATCATTATTTTTTTATTTTTAATGAAATATTGTAAATTTTAAATAAAGAGTAAGTGCCTTATAACATGACCAAGATATCAAGAAACTTTATAAACCACGTGCAATAGAAAACATAAAAGAAATAATAACTTTGCTTCCTTTGTTACCCCCGATTCTTAATCATACGTGTCCTCACAACCTCATATAAATGATCTAGTAACCAAGGAACCTTAGGCTAAAATGGTAATCCCAGGGTTAACTATCATACATACACACAGATAGACTTATCCTTACATGATATCTACCACTTCTTTGTCTTACAAATTTCATCCACTCAATCTTAATATCTTCTGTTCAACCAGAAAAAAGAAAAACGATACTCCCCTATAGATCACTCAATCACTGCATATACATATCTTCACTGAATTAATTAACATTACTCTCTCTTTCTCCATCTTCTAGATTCTTCCATCAACAACAACAATCATGGCTGCTGCAGTAACAGCCGCAGTCTCCTTGCCATACTCCAACTCCACTTCTCTTCCGATCAGGACATCTATTGTTTCACCTGAGAGACTTGTCTTCAAAAAGGTACGTTTCATATTGTTCCATAATCATATACATGCATTGATCCAATTCAGATTGCAAATTAGTTGATATCTGACACTGATTTCATACATGTCTTTGAGCGTATGATTATGATCTGAGGTGGTTGTTTGTTTCTTAGGTTTCATTGAACAATGTTTCTATAAGTGGAAGGGTAGGTACCATCAGAGCTCAGGTTACTACTGAGGCACCTGCTAAGGTAGTAAAGCATTCCAAGAAACAAGATGAAGGTATTGTTGTGAACAAGTTCAAACCTAAGGAACCATACGTTGGGCGGTGTCTTCTCAACACAAAGATCACTGGTGATGATGCACCTGGTGAAACTTGGCACATGGTTTTCAGCACTGAGGGTTTGTGTTCTCATACATTTTCTCTCTATTATTACCTCTACATTCACTACTCATAACAAGATTATAATTTACAGTTATTCAAAACCGTTTCAAGTTTTTGGAGAACCCGTGTAGGCTAGTCATAGTTTAACCTTAGAAAAAAAAAAATTTTATGAGGCCCAATTTAGCTATAGTTTAATTCTGACAAATTTGGGACCATGTGTGGGCAACGACAGCCCTGTGATTATTAGAGAGGTAATTAGCTAATAGTTTGTTAGCAATTAGTAACTAACTTACTCTCTATAAGCACACACTCTCGTTAACTAACTACTCGTTAATTACGTCTATAATAGTGGTAGTATCGTGATCCTTGATATTTTCGAGAACTTCTTCCATTTGCAAATGATGTAGAATCAATCGCAGTTTAAAAACATCAAGAAATTTAATGTTGTTGCCCAATGCGGCTGCAAAGACATGAATTGCTGTCAAAATGCTAATTTTAGTTTCTATCTTAAAAGACTAATATTTGTATTATTACAGGAGAGGTTCCTTACAGAGAAGGACAATCTATTGGGATAGTTCCGGACGGTATTGACAAGAATGGCAAGCCTCACAAGCTGAGATTGTATTCAATTGCTAGCAGTGCCATTGGTGATTTTGGAGACTCCAAAACTGTCGGTCTTTATTAATTTGGAAAACTGATCATTTTATTATTCTTTATATTGTTGTAACTGAGAATTGACAAGTAGTATATGCTAAGTTGATAACACATCTTTTGGATGGATAGCAATTTAACCTGATCTGATGTGTTTCCGTAATACAGGTTTCTCTATGTGTGAAACGTCTTGTGTACACAAATGATGCCGGAGAAGTTGTTAAGGGAGTTTGCTCAAATTTCTTGTGTAAGGATGAATGCTTTTACATTTGCATTTAAGGATTCTAAAGTATAACTTGTTTTGCATATACATGTATCAATAGTCGACGTTCTAATTAACTGAGGTTTTTCTTTCTTCCTCCCTAATGCGGAGACTTACTTTAAGATAGTTAATTATGTATTTCTACACGAACTCATGTATGTTTGTGTATTTGTTAGTATATTTATTTTGACAAGTTACATTACAAGTATAATTGGTAAAAAATTTCAGCATTTCTCAGTACTAATGTTCTCTATCCTTTATACCAATCACCATTGTGGTTCTCTTTATTCAGGCGATTTGAAGCCGGGATCAGAAGTAAAGATTACTGGACCAGTTGGTAAAGAAATGCTTATGCCAAAAGATCCAAATGCCACTGTCATCATGGTATGCTACTTATTCATCTCTGTCTAATTTGAAAAAGAAAAAGTTAACATCTGAGCCCTTTCTCTAGTCATGATTATTGTTTTGATTTTCTTTGTTAATCTTTAAAATTTTCTATGTAGTTGGGAACTGGAACTGGAATCGCCCCATTTCGCTCATTTTTATGGAAAATGTTCTTTGAGAAGCATGAAGATTACAAGGTAAGGGAGCAGTTTGGAAGCAAAGGAAATCACTACCGAGTGATCGATGTTACCAGAAAATCCTCATTTTTATAAAAGATGCTTTTTGTGCTAACCATATTTGATGATTAACTGATAACTGGGTTTTGGAATGTTGGCATATATGATGTGTAGTTCAATGGTTTGGCATGGCTCTTCCTAGGTGTCCCTACAAGCAGCTCACTGCTTTATAAAGAGGTAAGATGAACCAAACTTTTCGCGCTACTCACGAGATTCGGCTACAGGTTCTGTAGAATAGAAAGGTTTATACTAACTTAATTGTATGTCACAGGAATTTGAAAAGATGAAGGAGAAAGCACCTGAGAACTTCAGGCTTGACTTTGCAGTGAGCAGAGAACAAGTAAACGATAAAGGAGAGAAAATGTACATCCAAACCAGAATGGCTCAATACGCAGAAGAGTTGTGGGAATTACTGAAGAAAGACAACACTTTTGTCTACATGTGTGGACTGAAAGGAATGGAAAAGGGAATTGATGACATAATGGTGTCACTCGCTGCCAAAGACGGTAAGAAGCATTTTGAAGTCTATCATTTTTATTATTGGATTCCGCAAAACTGTAGTCATTGTGTTGTGTTTGTTACGTGTTCTAGGCATCGATTGGACCGAGTACAAGAGAACGTTGAAGAAGGCCGAGCAATGGAATGTTGAAGTCTATTAATTTCCTTTCATTTGCATTGATAACAAGTTCCAGTTTGTGCAGCAGCTTATCTATATCACCCTCCTGTATTCTGTAGATAGATTACATTACAACCTTGTAATTTTGGTATGACAAAAAATTATACCTTGCTTGTGAACAATATTGTTTACGGAATCGTTGCAAGAAATAATTTTGAGGATCATGCAATATAGTTTATCAATTTCCCGAAATTTAATTGTGAATATTCAGTATCTATTTAGAGTTCCATAGTAAATGAGATGAGATCTGAAAATGGAGATCAAAGCTATGAATGAGGTATTTGCTTATGAGCAGGGGTGAGATTAACAAAACAACCTACCAAAAAATAAATATGCTATTGGCACAATTCTTTAAACTCTTGTTCGTTTCTCTGTATGAGCACTGTCAATGTAAATCGTATGTTGAGCAATATGCTGTGACAATTTGCGATTAATCATATTTAATTTTAGTTTTAGAAGTTAGAAGTTAGTTATACCAGTGGTTACTCATATTTAATTTTAGAAGTTAGAAGCTAGATATACATGTGGTTAGTGATAGAGATATACATGTGGTTATCGATACTTATACATGTGGTTATTAACTAGAAGTGTGAGTTAATTAGTAGTATAATCCTACATAAAAGATATAACATGTATTTGTAATACACTCAATTTTATTTCAATAATACGTTTCTCTCAATTGCTCTTTATTCTTTTTAATTTTCCTCAATTTACAAATAATTTGTAATTTAAGTTATTCAACAAATTCTTTTTTATTTTCCTCAATTTACAAATAATTTGTAGTTTAAGTTATTCAACAAATTGATATCTAAAGAACTGATTTGATCTTCAATCACCATCCATGAAAAGTGAGAGTGCAATCTCCAATTAGTTTCCCACTAATCTACTAGTTATTAAAAGAAAAAACTAAGATAGATGGTGTACGCAAATGAAAGTGATATTCAGATTTTAAGATGTATTGAAAAAGACGGTTTTTTGGCATTAGAGACAAATGTTACTGAGGCGCAAATAGCTGCTCATCGTGAAATGGACAAGAAAGAAGGTAAAAACTTGTTCTTGATTCATAAGTGTGTGGATTCAAATATCTTTGTGAAAATCTTTGAGAAAGAAACTATCAAAGATGCCTGTGATACTCTCCAGGAGTTGTATGGTGGAAATGAGAAATTAAAGAAAGTCAAGCTTTAATCTTTGAGGAAATAATATGAGAATTTGCAGATGAATGTTGGTGAAGTCATCACCGAGTTCTTCTAAAAAATTGGTAGTTTTGACAAACCAAAGAAGTCGTGTGGAGAGAAGGTCTTTAAACTGCAGAAAGTGAAGAAGGTTCTAACTGACAAGTTTGATCATATTGTTGTGGCCATTGAGGAATCCAAAGATTTGTCAAAGATGGAGTTTGAAGAATTGCAAGAATCTCTTGAAGCTCATGAGTTAAGGCTGAAATAATTAAAATTGGAGAAAGTGTCTGAACAAGCTTTGCAGACAAAGTTCTTCAAGAAAATGAAATAAGACTCCTAAAAGAACAACAAAGGTAAAGGAAAATGGAAGATGAAGTGGAATGAAAGTGATGATGTATGTAAGAACTAAAGAAGTCAGAGTGAGACAATTAAAAATGGTGCCCCTCACAATCAGAGACTCAAGAAGAAGTGGAGATGAAGGAAGTTCAATGCTTTTTTTTTTTGCCAAAAGTTTGGACACTATGCTAGGGACTATTACTTCAACAAAGAATTGAAGGAGAATGACAAAGGTGTAACACAATTTTCTCATGATGAAAGTAGTGACTCAGAAGAGATCATTTTGATGGCTGATACACAATTGGATCAAGATAAAACTAAGGTTTGGAACCTTGACACATGGTGCAACAATCATATGATTGAGAGCAAAAATTGGTTCAATAAGCTTGGTGAATAAGTGAGGAGGTTTATTAGGTTTGCAGACAATAGCATGGTGACATTAGAAGTAACGAGGGAACATATGTGAAGAATAAGGATGGACAAGAAGTTATCATATGTGATGTGTTGTATGTTACTTCTATGACAAACAACTTGATCAACTTGGGTTAATTGCTTGATAAAGACTGCACAATGAGGCTAGAAGATAAAAATCTCAAGGTGTTTGATGGAAGTTCCAAGCTAATCTTAAAGGCACACTTATCAACAGACACAACATTCAAGATTATGATTAACATTATAGAGCATCAATGTCTTGCATCAACCGTAGTTAGAGATCAAAATTGGACTTGGCATCAGAAGTCCGACCATCTTAATTTTAGGAGTCTCAGTATGATTCACATGAAGAAGATGGTGTATCGCCTTCCTAAAGTTACAATTCCTAAGTAGTTATGTGTTTACAAGCAAGCAAGAATGTCATTAAAACATGAATTGGCAATGAAGTCACAATAGAAATTGGAGATTGTGCACTCAGATATGTGTGGTCTCTTTGAAGTGAAGTCACTAGGAAGTAACTGCTACTTCTTAATCTTCATATATGAATTCACTAGATATATGTGGATTTACCTGTTGGAGAAGAAAAGTAAGTTGTTTAACAATTTTAAGAGATTCAAGTTGCTAGTTAAGAAGCAGGTTGACTGTGCAGTCAAAAGGCTGAGAACCGATAGTGGTTGTGAGTAGACTTCAACTGGGTTTACTCGGTTTTGTTAAAAAAGGGATTGATCATAAAGTTATAACACCATACACCCTCTACATAATGGCATTGCTGAGAGAAAGGACAAAAGTAGCTTGGACGTGATAAGAAGCATGCTCAAGGCAAAGCAAGTGCCAAACCATTTTTGGGGCGAGGCTACCTCAACTGCTGTCTACATCATCAATATACGTCCAAGCAAAAAGTTACACAACAACACTCCTTATGAAGCTTGGTATGGCATGAAACCAAGTGTTAGAAACTTCAAGATTTTTGGTTCATTGTGATACAAACATGTATGAAGAAACTTAGAAGAAAGCTTGATGATAAAGGCTAAGCCATGATTTTGGTTGGCTATGATTCATAGGTGCCTACATGTTGTTCTCACCAATTGAGAAAAAGGTGGTGAATGGTACTGATGTGGAATTTGATTAAAGTGGAGGATGGAACTGGAAGAGCTCAATGTAAGAGGGTGAAGATTTAAGTCACATTAGAAGCACTCTTCAAGATGATGAGAAAGTACTAGAAGCTCAAAATGAACATGCATAATCTCAGGAGGTAAGAATATCACTAAGAGTCAGAACTCAACCAGACAGACTGGCACTACTATAAAAAGTGCTTTTAACGTCAGATACAAAATGCATTTTACCTCAGCTGCATAAGCGAGGTAACGAAGGGCGTCATGAAAAGTAACGACTTATCACCTCAGTTTTTTAAACACTGAGGGATGTATTAATATAGATTTTTTTAATTGAAATTCGTTACATTGTTTACACAGAAAATAAATAAAAATAATTTGTTTACAAACTACGATATTTACCAAGAATATTACATTGTTTATACAAAATATTAAAGTAAAAATAAATTTATCCCTGAAGATCATATGTTGGATCTTCTACTCCTTGATATTTGGGCAAGATCAAATGTTTCACCTTGCAAGTATTTGTTTCTGATATAAAACAAAAAAAAAGGTTAAAAAAATAAATGATTTTCTGCTCAAATGAAAATTGAAAAACACAAACTTTAAACCCAAATAATTCTCTGCACTTGCGATCCATCATAGAGAACTTCTAATGGCAATAGTTAAAGTGGAGAGTGTAGATAGTTTCAAGCAATTCATAACGTTTCTTTATCAATTATTGATATCATAAGGCCTTTATAATGGAAAATTTTTAGGTTTCATGCGAGTCACTAATGGTAATGTCTTGAGCGTTAATAATCATGAAATGAACGACAAAGATTTGTTTAAGAACGATGATCAATATCTAAAATTATCATGCTAAGTTATCCCCTCGGTTTAACAAAAAAGAGGTGGACATGATTTTTTTTAAAATTACATTATTTACGTAAAAGATTGAAAAACAATAATACAGCAAAAAAAAAAATTTGGTGTAAGGAGTCATGTGTTTCAAATATTGCACGCATCCAATTTTTAGGAGTTATCTGTTCCAACCAATGAATGCATCCAAATTCTAAAGGAATTATCTGTTACAAATTTGAAAAAATATTTTTATGCACTTGCAATCCATCATAGAGAACAACAATAACAACAACAACAACAACAACACCATTTTGTGAGATGGATCCCAAAAGAATGATGCGTTCGAGTTTCGAGCGGCTACATATAAGCTAGGATTAAGGTAAAAATTCGTTTAACGAGTGCTTTTATAGTTAAATATGATTATCTTATTCCTCGGTTATTAAGAAAATCGACGGGATATATCATTTAGTTTACAAAAAAGTTATATAGTAAAAAAAAAGGTTCCTGGATTGTTTTTTTCCCTCAGATTGTTTTTGAATAACCAAGATAATAAGTTGATTGTCCCCTCGGTTTTAAAAACCGGAGTAATATGTGATTTCTATTTCTAAAAAAAATAAATTATGGCGCACATTGGAATCATATCACTAGAATAACAATAATCATCCATATTCAATGTAATGTATCTTTTGAATTCTCAAGGAGGCGTTTGAACTTCTCTGATTGTTTCACTCCTTATTCTCTACTTTATTTAGACACTGTTTCTAGTTTCAACGTATCATATCCAACTTTTTGTGTCTTCAAACCTAGTTTCAAAGTATTTTTTTCTTTAAAAATGTCTTTAACAACCTTAGATAAAAATATTTTGTTCGTTATCAATGAAAAGTTTGTTTATTTCATTGATTTGAAAGACAGGTTTTGATCTAAGTAAAACTATTCGCAAACAAAATTTGAATGGTTACTTTGACATTATTCATGGACCCATTTACATTAATTTCATTAATGAATTATGGTTAAATTCCTCTGTTGGGTCATCTAGTCATGATGCTGAGTCAATCTAGTCATAAGTCAATGACTCTCCTATCACA